AAGTCCAGAAACGTAGCAAAGAGATCGGTAAAATAATCCATGTGACATCAGTGGTTCAACCGCAATTATACGAAGTTACGAGAATACTTTTTGTGTGCAAAAGAAAAGAAAAAAAACGACTTTATTCAACAATTCGTCTCCTCCGCATCACCCTGTAGCACCATTTTGGAGAGTATCAGCTGGACGTAAACAGCGTATGCTGTTCTGTGTCAGCTGTGTCACGCCAGATCTGTTTCCTTCTTTGTTGTGATTTGATCTGAACGAAAACCGCTATCCGTGTGATGCAGCTGACACAGAACAGCATAAGCCAGTGGTTCTCAACCTTTTTTTCAAGTCTCACGGGCTGCACGCATATCATTTACATATTACGTCACCAATACAAACCAACCAGAATTATAATAGCCTATTATAGCCTAAATATTATGATATCTAATCGATTACATTCATTGAAATAAATAATTGTACTCCCCATTAATAAAACACCTGATGCTGTTGGGAGCTGACCAATTTTGTGAAATTCGGCTCGAAAGGAGTAACAGCACAATGAAGTTGCGATTGTAAGTTGCAGTCTGCAAGACGCGCACGGAACCGTGACTTGATGCGCAACATTGCAGAAAATGTGCGTTCACAAATGTAGCCTATGTTGATCCAAATATGGAAAGCACTTTCGAATTTAATAATCTGAGGTTATCTCCAGATATGTTTTGCCACATTTCTGCAATTAAGGATGATTGCTGCATAGTATGGGTGTTTCCTTTTGCCTGAACTAGAGCCATGCATTTCAGTCCGGGCCCAATGGCCCCCGACTTTTTTACGCCCCTAGGGCCGGGCTTCGGGACAATTTTCACGTCCTAGTTAAGACGCGGGCCGGGTATCGGGCTTGTTTTAGGCTTCTCCTTATTTTTATATTTTAGACATCCATCAATTAGTGATGAAACATTTTGCAGCGCTGGTGGAAACAACACGAGGCCGAGCTACCACGACTGTCAAGAGCGGCTCGATGGTGTTTAGTGTCCAGCAGAAGCATGTATGCCGTCAGCGCAGCTGAACAATTCTGCGTTCAAATGCACGCAATAGGCTAAAGCTTGCCGCAAAGCATCGGCAAAAGTAATTACCATGAATGTGTCAGGGGGAAAGGGTAAGGAGATATTTGAATTATTTACTAATAAACTATTGTTTTCTGAGTCCGTGTCGCAAGGATGAAGTTGCCATCCTTGCCGATCCTGACTCGCCATCTCCTCAGACGCGCCTTTAGAGAGAAGTGCATCTTTACGGATTATGATTATAATGAAAGAGTTTTTGTTTTTGATTTGTTTTATTTCGTTAAGTAGTAATTTAAAGCTTATCTATAGATATATTTATCATGTCTGTGAGGCATCTATTCGCTGAGTTTCGGTTCATTTTTGTAAGCGCTCCTGTTCAAAGACAAGACGGCAGAAAGCGCATTGTGTTTGTTTTCTTTATTTTATAAAAGCACAATGTTTTGTTGATATTGTGAGTGCACACAAATAAAAGTAGACCCTTTACAGTTACGAATGATGTATTACTCTTACCTTTATGAGCAAAAATGACGGCGTATCCACTGAAAAAAATGCAAGTGATTGCGCTGGCGCCTCCATGTCCTGCAAAGCGCACTTTAACTTGCTCTCTCCACACAAACTATTGGATATAATGCACATTTATCTAGGTTTAACATTTAAACATTGTTATATGCTTGAACTGTTTTATATCTATAGATTTTATCTTAGGCAAGTCGTGATGATTTGAGAAGGCTAAATTGATCAAACATAGGCCAAAGTGCGCGCTTGTAAGTGTTCGTTAAATGCGTAACGTTAATTACGTGAGTACAGGTCTGCTCATGTCTGAAAATAATATATGAAAAACAAAATTATTTTACATAACAAAAACATTATAGCTTATATTTAAATTAATGTAAAAACTAAAATGAATTGCATGCGGCCCGCGGGTTGAGAACCACTGGCATAAGCTGTTTACTTCCAGCTGATATTCTCCAAAATGGCACCAGAGTGATGCGGAGGAGACGAATTGTTGAATAAAGTTGTTTTTTTTTCTTTTGCGCAAAAAAAGTATTCTCGTAGCTTCGTATAATTGCGGATGAACCACTGATGTCACATG